ATGATAGCTTTCCCAAAAATAATAATTTTAAATATAATGCCCAATTGAGATCTAAGAAGAAAATTGTGAAAAAGAGTTATGGGAATCATTCTGCTAGGAGACCAACTCAAAATCTTAAGAACCAAGGACCTCCTTCAAAACAAAATAGCTATACATGTTTTGTGTGTGGCAAGCTTGGGCATACTACTAGAGTTTGAAAATTCCAGAAGCGTGGGCCTACTCCACAGGTCAACGTAACCGAGGAGCCCTTTATGGCGATGTTATCTAACATAAACATGTTTAATGGCGGTGAGGGATGGTGGATTGATTCTGGTGCCGCAAGGCATGTCTGTAAAGACAAATCTTGGTTCAAAACATTTTCTGAATATGATGCTGAAAAGGAAGTGAGACTTGGTGATGGTCATACAATCAAGGTTCCTAGCCAAAGAGAGGTGGAATTGAATTTTACCTATGGAAAAACATTAACTCTCAAAGATGTGCTTTATACTCCTCAAATGAGGAAAAATTTAGTTTCTAGATTTCTTCTTAGTAAGGCTGGCTTCAAAGAGGTATATGAATCTGGGCATTATGTTTTAACTAAAAATGGTATATTTGTTGGGAAAGGCTATGCATGTGATGGCATGTACAAGTTAAATATTGATATGAATAAAGTTTTTTCAAGTTCTATTTATATGATTTCTAATACTATTTGGCATGCTCGCTTATGTCACATTAATAATAAATAGATAAAAAATATGAGTAATCTTGGATTGATATCCAAAGTAAATAATGATTTTGAAAAATGTGAATCTTGTAGTTTGACTAAAATCACTAAAAAACGTTTTAAAAGTGTTGAAAGAAAAACTGATTTATTAGAATTATACATATTGATATTTGTGAATTTGAGGGAGTTTTGTCACATGGTGGTCATAGGTATTTTATTACTTTTATTGATGATTTTTCAAAATATACTTATATTTATTTGATTAAGCATAAAAGTGATGCTTTTGAAAAATTTCAAATCTTTTTAAATGAGGTTGAAAACGAATTTGGAATGAAGATTAAAAGGTTTAGAAGTGATAGAGGTGGTGAGTATGATTCAAATAAGTTTAAAAAATTCATACAATCTTTGGGTATTATTCATGAAACTACTCCTCCATATTCACCTTCTTCTAATGGTGTAGCTGAACGTAAAAATTGTACTTTAATTGATTTGACTAATGCTATGCTTGTTAGTTCATGTGCACCATCTAATTTGTGGGGTAAAACTGTTTTGACTGCATGTTATATTTTAAATCGTATTCCTAATAAGAAGACTAACCTGACTTCTTTTGAGTTGTGGAAAGGCTATAAGCCAAATCTTAGCTATCTCAAAGCTTGGGGATGCTTGGCTTATGTAAGATTGACAGATACAAAAAGATCAAAGTTGGGTGCAAAAGCTGCGACATGTGTATTTATTGGCTATGCAACTACAAGTAAGGCATATAGATTCCTTGATCTTGATTCTAATGTTGCTATTGAATCTGTAGATGCTATATTTCATGAAGATAAATTTCCTTTTAAACTTAAGAAGGATGGAAGTCATGATTTTACAAAACAAAATGATTTTGAACCTAGTTCCTCAATTTCAACTCATTTTCAAAACCAAGAGAACATGGATTTTGAACCTAGGAGAAGTAAAAGAACACGTAAAGAAAGAGATTTTGGTTCAGATTATTATGTATATAATGTAGATGGAAAACCATTGTCTTTTCAAGAAGCTTTAACTTCTTTTGATTCTGATTTTTGGAAAGAATCTATTAATGATGAAATGGATTCTTTGATTTCTAATAAAACTTAGAAGTTGGTAGATTTACCTCCTGGTTGTAAAACAATAGGATGTAAATGGGTTTTGAGAAAAAAACTTAAACCGAATGGAACCATAGATAAATATAAAGCAAGACTTGTTGCAAAAGGTTTCAAACAAAGGGAGGAACTAGACTTTTTTGATACTTTTTCACCTGTAACAAGAGTGACTTCCATTAGAGTGCTTATAGCTGTAGCCGCCATTCATAACATGCTCATCCATCAAATGGATGTTAAAACAGCATTCTTAAATGGAGACTTGCATAAAGAAATTTACATGGATCAACCTGAAGGTTTTGTTATGCCTGGCCAAAAAGACAAGGTATGTAAATTGACTAAATCTCTTTATGGTCTGAAACAAGCTCCAAAACAATGGCATGAGAAATTTGATAGTTGCTTGATTGAAAATGGTTTTAAATCAAGTGAAAGTAATAAATGCATATATTTTGGAATTTTCAATAATTATCATGTTATTATATGTTTGTATGTTGATGATCTCTTGATTTTTGGTTCAAATTTAGAGGTGATTGACTCTACTAAGTCATTGTTAAATAAGCATTTTGACATGAAGGATTTGGGTGAGGCTAATGTAATTCTTGGCATGAAAATAACTAAAAATTATGATGAATCTTTCTTGATCAATTCCATTATATAGAAAAAATTTTGAAGAAATATAACTATCATTATTCTAGACACGTTATGACGCCTTTATCACCCAGTGTGCATTTGTATCCCACTTTACATGATAGAGATATTATTAATCAAAAGGAATATGCTAGTATCATTGGTAGCTTATGGTATCTTACTGATTGCACTAGACCTGATATTTCTTATGCAGTTGGAATGTTAGGGAGATTTACTAGCAAGCCTAATTCTTTTCATTGGGATTGT